TTATACGAGGAGAACGATACACTTTTCAGCAACTGATACTCGAAGGGAAAATAGAGGGTAGGAGAGGTCTCGGACGTAAAAAAATGTCATGGCTGCGCAATATTCGACAATGGACAGGAATCCACAGCTATGAAATGCTTCGCAATGCTGCTAAACACAGAATTATTTAAACCAGAATATTTAACATCTCACCTGACAAGACGATGTACGGTGGACGCCTACGCAGAAATGCACGGCACCTTAAGAAGAAGAAGAAGCATATTAATTTTGGCAATACATTATGTCTGTGATAAAATATGTTACAAGCAGTCTGTCCGTGTCGCCAATCAGTACAGTATCATGAGTAGATAATAGAAAACTTAATACTTTAATAAATAGATCCAGTTTCCAGCAGAAAAATCTAGTAGCATCCCGAAATCCAGCTTATCAGTTCCAGTTGCAATTTTAAGAAGGAAGCAGGAACATACAAGTGAGCATCGGGATAAAACTGTAAGTTTTTGAATATTTATTATCATTTAGAGCAGTGCATTTTTTTTTATAAATCAAAAAGATTATTAAAGAAACTTAAGATTCAAATTTAATAATACTTAATTGAAATTTTTTTATTCTGCATACCTTTTTACTTAAAACAGTAATAGTTTGTCTATAGCTAATTCCAATTTAATAGCTTAATTATTTTAATTTTAGTTATATTCGATAATTTTAATTCATATAATTTAAAATTCCTAAAAAATTTGATTTTCATAATATAGGGAAATATCGTGACAAATCGTTATTTTTTACACACATTCGGAGTTCATTCATTTCAAATATATAGTATTTGTAGTATTTGCATTGTTTATATAAAGAATTTTTTCTTTCTGGTTACAAGTGATAATATTACATTCTTTAATTTGTATTATATACAGCCGTGTCAGCAAGGTTAGACAAGTTCATTCGGTATTGTCTAAGGTAATCTTGCTGAGACTTTAAAAGTTGAATTTAGGTCAAACTTATATACGTTTGAAACGGAACGATTATATTTAGATCAGGAAAAGCTAGGTCAAGAAATTACGAAGTTTTTAAATAATTTACGAAAACTACGGAAAGAAAAACGAACGAGAGAATACTTAAAAATTAAAAGCCATACATCTAAATAGGTTCCGAGAAGCACTGATAAACGGAACTAAGGAAATGTCTAAGGGGCTAAGTGATGTCTCATATAGAGCTGACACATTACAGAAGGAGTAGGTATATACGACTTAAAGTGGGAACGACTTATAACCGTGCAATGGAATATGCAAAAGAATATTCGAACATATACGAAAAAATATTAAATCTTCATTGCAATCATGGACACTTTATAGATATTATAAAACCTGGACAAATAGAGTCAATCATTTCGAATACTACAAGGTTCTTTCCACAAGGAGTAGATATAAGAAGGCAGCCAATAATAGATACGGTCGTACAAAATGAAGAAGGAGACGTCATCATTATTGACCATTAATTGACCTAATAATTGACAACAAGGAATCTATTTGCAGTAGATTACAATAACTTACATTATTCTGAAGCGACATCTGAAGGTAAAGGAAGGTGTATAGAATTAAACAAAGGAGAGTTGGCTTGTCCACAAATGGGAATCATTAAGATGGATACTCAGTCAATCTGTATTTTAAATGAATTATGTGATAGAACTACCAGTACCACTTGCAATATAATAGAATACGCGATATAGGAAGTGAGTTGGTTGAAAATGAGCACACCGAACCTGTGGTTAGTCATTCCACCACACACTATAAATTTAGCTATAATGTGCGATGGTTCTCGATCTGAACATATAATCGATTAAACGAGTTTTATAAAACTGTCACCAAAATGCGTTGCTCAGACTCGAAACATAACGTTACTTACATCCAGTAACGGATTGGAAACAGCAAATGGAAGATATTTAAAGACTCCCGTCAGTCCCATTGAAGAGCTTATGTCCCGTCAGTCCCATTTAAGAACAACATTCCCAAACATAATATAGATATTCGGGGAGATGATTTGCCAAATATTGTACTTGAGGCAGAGCAGTTTGACCAAGATATATCAGAACACACGTGGAAAACCATTGCTAACCATCCGTGGATTCCTCATTTAACCAAGGGAACTACTCACTTTATTCATTGTTATGTTGATTGTCATTACATGGAAGGTAGTTAGATATTTTCGAAACTCCAAGAGAGCCAGAAAACAAAGGCATCAAGGTTCTAGCATCCAACCTCATCCAGCGTCTCGAAGACATACTTCATCACAACCAAATTTAAGTAGTACTTTAAAGAAAGCCCCTCCTAGATCAGTTTCACTTACTGAGCTTAGATTTGAATTAGATAATTTAGCTGAAATATAAATTCTAAATAATCAAATTATAGGTAGCACTACTCGGGTGAGATAATAATTTAAAAACCGAGTGAATTAGTGTTATGATTATTGTTAGTATTATTTTATATTTTATATGTGTTTAAATAATTTCTATTGGTCGTTTGTTTGCTTTTTATATAGTGGCCAATATGTTCAATCACAAATTAACCCCTTTATTTGTAATCTCACATTATTCTTAACTTTTAATCCTTTATAGTTTGACCGTGTATAAGTGACATTGTAAAACCATATCGTATAATATTTTAATAATTAAGTTCATTTACCTACAACTAAATAAATTGCCGAATAAGGTATTTTCTAATTGAACTTTCTAAGTGTCGCAATTAAGGCGTAGATTAAATTTTATTGTAAGCAAAGTTTGTTCGTATGGTATGATAGAAAGCAATGACCTATGTGCTTAGATATGATTATTTGTGAGATTAAAAATTGGGGATTTGAGCTCATATAAACACAGTCAATCATAAGTAGTTACCTAACGAACATCATATTGTGTAATTACCAGAATAAATCAATACGAACCTCAAAATTACGTTCGAACCTTTGCACATGTTTATGTTTCTTTTTCAACCAGTCTAAAAATATTGAGATTAACCCAAAGTAAATACTATGATCTGATAAAATTTTTATAACGTTCTTTAAAAGTTCGCTCAATTACCTAGGAGTATACCTTGATTAAATCTTAATAATTAAGTTCATTCTTATTTTAGATATTAAGATATGGTTGTTACTGTACAATATTTTAAAAACACAATTTAAATATCTTTGATCCATTGTGGACTTTATCATAACACTAGGATAATACCAATAAAATTATTAGTTTTTTTTTATATTTAAAGTGTATTTTCTAGTTGGTTTTAATAAAGTTATTGGTTCTTAACCTACTATATCTATGTATATCTTAACTATGCACGTACGATGATAAGTTAGTTAAAGGGATATTGGGTTTTCTATATTAAAATATATTATCTTCTCTCAGAAAAATGTATTTTTATTGGTTAATAACAATTAAACCAAATATATTCACTAAATATTGAAAACATTGAAAGTAATAGTAAATTGTGATCTTGACTCAATAAAAACTGGATAAGAGCGGCGCAAGATAGACAGGGTTGGAAAAATGAGGAAGAGGCCTATGTTCAGCAGTGGACTCTTGAGGCTGGATGATGAAAAAAACAGGTCTAAGCTTACAAAATATCATCAAATGTCTGCTAATTCCACAGACGTCGCAGCCTATTTAAACCTTTACTGTTTCGACACCTTTAATAATAGTATACCTAGGGAAAACTGGATCTAGTCTGTTTCATGGGCACATTTGAGAATGAGCTGGGAAGATAACATTGATTATTATTAATTGTTTAAATGAGAAGGGTATTAAATGATAGATAACGACAAATAATTTAAAAAATAAAAAAGTTTAAGATTAATCTATTTAATAAAAAAAGGTTTGTAGCAACTTGCACCGACACTGCGACAACTTGTTCCGAAGAAGGGTATGTATGCAAAGAAAAAATATTTCTTCAAAGTCTTAAAATTGACCAATAAATTTTGATGCTGCCAAATTATAACTAAGATACAAATGTATTCATTAATCTTAGTTGGTTATATTTAAATCAAACACGCAAATGCATACATTTAAAAATATCGAAACTTCGACGAATAGCTACGGTCCTCCCTACAAAATTTTTTCCTTTTTTCCTGCTAAAGACTATTTATTTTTTATTTATTGATTTGATTTATTATTTCATTTTCATATTTTCTTTTTATTGTAGTAGGTTGTTCTTTAAATTATTTTTATTGCAATTTTAATTATTTTTGATTATTTTTAAGTTGTAACTTTCCTGTGTTATGTTTAAAAGGACTTACATTACCGGACTTTTCCTTAGAACTTTTAATTTTATCGAATAATTTAACCAGTACTTTTTATTTCATCAAACATAAAGTTTGGTTCAACATCCCCGGAATTTCATTTACCTCGTTCATAGGTATAATTTGAATGGTTTTTATATTTACTAAAACGCGTGGTTTAGTTGGTCGTTTGCAGCTTAATACCTATACACTAAAATTTTTGTTATAAATCAGAATTACTAAAAATCGAGTTTAATTTTATAGCTAAATATTTTTGTAATCATAAATAATAGTTTATTTGTATTACAAAAAACAAAACATAAATTCTTTTTTACTTATTTGTAAATGTATAAATATTAACCAAAAAAAAATATTTTTCTGATACAAGTAATATTACGGGTATACCAAAACCCAATATTTTTCCCCGCTAGGTCCACACACGAAAATCTTTTTATTTTATCTCATTTTACCCGATCTGTAAGTCCGTGGTCCCCTGTGTCCCCCGCACAAAATCCTTTTGAATGCTTGCCGAAATTCTGGACTAAAAATGGTGTAGATGACTGGATTAAGCGTAGAATTAAAGTATCCCAGCCACAAAGCAAAGCTCATGATGTAGCCACTAATGTTGCAGGAGTCCCCGCATAAAGGCAAAAGAAGAGCTAATATGAAGAATGGCAACCAGCACATAACAAAGGCTCCGGTTATTATTGCTAGAGTTTTAGCTGCTTTTCTTTCCCTTTTTGCTTCTAAACTCTCCTTCTTCTCCTTTTTGGACGGCAGGAGCTTGTCGACAGATGCGGACAAGTTGGAGGTTCTTTGCTGAGTGTTCCGGCTCGGCTGACGACTGTGCTTTGCTCACCGGCTGAACCGTTATTTGTCCTTTCTTGGTAAATATTATTTTGGTTATCTAGAGGCTTTGAAATAGTAAATGCTGTAGTTTCTTGCTGTTGGAAGGTGCTTTGAATATTAGGAGTCTCTGGTGTAGACTTTTGAGCTTCTGTTAGTGCTAAACTTAGATTTTTGGATGCATCTGGAGCCAACATAGATTTCTCTGAAACAAAAGTAATTTATATTTAAAAAAATTAGTGATAATAATACATACGATATTTGCAAACATTTAAAAGAAAAATTTTAGATATGTAGATATGTTTATCTTCTAAGATCAACACTGAAATAAAGAATATGTAGCGAATAATGTTATGAAGCATAGACAGAATTTTAGACCCTATACAGTATAACTAAATGCAAACATATAAAAACGCAAAAAAGAGTTGTTCAGGACTTTAAGCTGCAAAATCTGTCGTCGTTTCCAATGGTACCATAAAAATAAGTGTAATATTCCGTGGGAGTTTTTTTAATAGTTCTATCAAGCGCGGGCTCCTGTGAATAGGAGATGCTCTCTAGGTATTTTTCTGTCTCCGGCTTCTATACACCATGTAGCTTCACCTATTTTCAAAAATTTGTTTGTCTTTGTTTTCAAAGTGTTTGTTTGTCTTTGTGTAGTGTATTGTGATGTCCCACTTTATATATCGATATTTGCCTTGTATATTATCAAAGATATAGATAGATCTCTAGATAGAAAATCTAGATCTAGATAGAAAAAAACCTCATAATACTATCCCGACATGATAAGTATTTGGTTATGCATTTAGTTTACCTTCAATAAACACCAAACTCTGATTTTATATGTTTGTTATTTAAAAAATATAAATGATGTATCCTCTATATGTTACTGACTTACTAATACTGATATTTTCTGATTAATAACTTCCTCTTTCAATATGGGTAACCAGATCCTACTACATTCTGCCGAGGTATTTGCGATACAATTGGTCTCATTTAGCATAATTAGTGCCGCTTCTTTGATTTTTCTTTTTTTACCATCCGTTTATATTAGGACTACATTTCAATTAATCCATTAAATTTATGTTCATTTTCCCATGCGTGTTTTTTTTTCTGGTTTTCCTTCATAATTTACTATGGAATCACTAACAGGAGAATTTTACTGTCATCATCGCATGTGTTTGTCTTTTTAAAGACGAATTACATGCTATGATTTTTTCTGACGAATATTCTCAAGTTAAAGTTGATTTCATGTAATCGAATGAACTATCTTTTAAGTAAAGTCGTCCCAGGAGCGCAACTCAACTATATTGGCAATATCATTTTTAAGTCGTCTACTAAAATGCATACTGTATGTCTAAATTGTCAATATAAATGAGCCAGATAAAATTAAATTATTAGAAGAATTCTTCAGTAAGTAACAAAAAACAATTTTTTTTTAATTTACTGTTTGTATTTTGAGAACGATTTCCGAAGTGGAAATAGTAATTATTCCCAGTTAAAATGGTAATTAATTTAAAATGACACAAGAAAATAGCTTCAGAACAGTTACATATTGTTGTCTAGACAACATACTTGGTACAGACTATTAGGCCGGTTCGTCCTTTGGATGCGTTTTCGTCCGAATTGCGTTCGTCAGAAATCGGACGAAGAAGTGCGAAGCATCCCGTTTCATTGAAACCTATTGATGCTCGTACACTGCGTCCGAACTGCTTCGTACGAATTCGGACGAAAACATGCGAAGTGCGATCTATCCGAAACAAATGGGATTTTTCGCAGTTGTTATGACGAATTGATAGTCGATTTGTATTTGTAACAGAACGAGATGGATGTTGAAAAATTAATTACTTTAATTTATGAAAAAAAGCCTCTATGGGATATGACCGATAAATCATATCACATGAGAGATATACAAAGAAAATTGTGGCAAGAAGTGGCAGTTGAAATGAATACTAAGGGTAAGTTAAATCAAATTTAGGTGTCAGGTACCTATGATATATGTATTTGCAAACAAACAAAATATTTGTCTTTGTTGTTTATAATGTAGAAAAGGCATATATGGGTAAGGCTCATTGAAATCCAAAATGTATTTGAATATTTTATTGATTTTAAATTATGCATTATACAATTCTTGAGATGAAAAAATAAGTTTTAAATTTATCCCTGATGTCATAAGCTGAACTGGTGCCTCTGTTTTCACCCAAGGTTCCAAATCTTCCCGTTCTTGAATGTGTTTGATGAGGGATTTGCTCGAATGTACATGCTACTTGTTGCTCTCCTTCTTTATCAATTATAATGTTATGCAAGAGGCATATGCATTTAATAAGTTTATCGGCAGATTCGGGATTTACTTCAATTGATTTTTGTAATAATCTCCATTTGCTACTCATAATTCCGAATGCACATTCAACAACTTGTCTTGCTCGAGACAAACGCTCATTAAAAATTATTTCTGAAGGTCCTAATTTTGATACTGGAAAAGGTCTCATTAAATAAGTTTTTAGTGGATAAGCTTCATCTCCCAAAAGAACATGAGGTACTTTAATATTTGTTCCCGGCAGTGCACAATGTCTTGTAACACCTAATCCTCCGTTTTCAAGCTTTTGGCAAAGATTTGAATGCGAAAAAATACCACCATCACTTTCTTTACCGTACGCTCCCACATCAATTGCTATAAATTTGTAGTTTGGTCCAGCCACAGCTTGTAAAACAATTGAGAAGTATTGCTTGTAGTTTCGATACATACTTCCAGAGTGCTTTGGATTCTGTATGCGTATGTGTTTCCCATCTATGCATCCAACACAGTTTGGAAATTTCCACTTATTCCAAAATCCTTCAGATATAGATTCCATGTCTTCATTTTTCGGAAATGGCATATGTACAGTACCCAACTTGTCCCAAATAGCATCACACGTTTCGTGAACAATTCTACCCACCGTGACATCTGATATTCGAAACGAATACCCCAATGTCTTAAACGAGGAGCCCGTTGCCAAATACCTGAAATGAAAAAAAAAACGTGATTAATTTGTAACGATTTTTTTTGTTTCAGTTGATGAACTAAAAAATAAATGGAGGGGGCTGCGAGACACATTCCGGAAGGAATTCAACAAGTCGAAAAAACAGAAATCTGGAGATGGTGCAGAATCGGTAGTTACCTCCAAATGGCCATATTATAAAATACTGTTGTTTTTATCTAAAACTGTTGAACGACGTAAACTGCATGGAAATATATCTCCGCAAAAGGAAGACAATAACAACTCTTATTCCGAAACAGAATCGACATTGGAGCCTGATGCAGACAATGCATACTCTCAATCAACCATTCAAGAGTCATCACAGCAAATTGTAAATACAGATATACAGCAGCCATCCACATCTGGTAATGAGGTTAAAAGTACATTCAGTACACCTAGTAGTACAACTATGCAAACTAAGAAAAACACAAACAGTCGTCTAAAATATGCTAGGAATTCCGAGGCAAATTCAATGGACGACAAGTTCCTCGAAATAGAAAGAGCCAAATTGGAAATATTGTGCCAACATAAAAATAGAGAAGATAGTGACAGTGAACGCCAATTCCTACTCAGTCTCCTGCCCTTTTTAAAGGCTGTACCTCAAAATCGACAAATGCTAATAAGAAGTAAGTTGCAGCAAGTATTTCTTGATGAGGAGCAATTATCTACAAGACACGCGCCCGGAGCATCATATCGTTCCAATGAAACAATTACATCAACACCGTTGCCTTCTCCAATGTCTTACACAGACACCGATTCCTCCAGAGCGTCATTCTATTGTAATGACTTAATATCAACACCACATCATTCTTCATCTTTGCAAAATACAGAATCTTCCGTGGTCTCACAATATTCAAGTGAAAGAAGAGAAGATGTTTCCTCTCAACAGCCGTTATCCATTCAGAACTATATTACTCACTTCAGCGCATAAAACAATGTATTTCTTTTCTTTGTATTTTTTAATAATAAAATTGGAAATGTTGCAACTACTGTATTTATTATAACTTACCTTAGAGTCACACTCAATCGTTCTTCTGGTGAAATGGTCTCACGGAAATTCGACATTTTTTTAATTGGTTCTCTTATGGCATCTAAAATATAGTTAAATGTATCCTGATTCATGCGATAGTAATCAAAAAACTTTTTCTCGTCCTTTTTCAAATCATCATATAAATGATGAAATTCTCCGAATTCTTTTCGTTTTGCTAATATGTCATTAACCCAACATTTTTTTCTTTTTAATTTTAATCGCCGTCTAACAAGGTAACTATTTTCCAAAAGAATATGATCCATATTAAGTATTAATAATTATTATAGTATGCTTATTTGATAAATTACTACATATGACTGACTTCGTACAATGCGAAAACTTGTCTATAGTGGACGATACCACATATGCGAAATCTGACGAAATTATTCCTCCGATTTCTGACGAAAATATTTCGGACGAAAACGCATCCAAAGGACGACCGGCCTTAAGGTTGTCGAAATTACCATTACATGCTTGTATTGTGCAAAAACAGAAAATATAAAAATAAACTAAGACAAGATTATTGAAGATTTTTCATGCTCAAGCTGTTATAAAATAAATACCTAAACAAAAATGTCCGCCAATTGCGATTGGAAAAACTGAAACCATAACTATTCCTAGCTTTGATAGAGCCAAAGAAGATGCTTAAAATATTTTGGGGATAATACAAGTTAAAAAGTTGGCAGTTTGTTCATTTGGAACAATAAATATACTTTTTTGGACGAATCGAAAATATTAATCAAAATTGAAAAAAAATTCAGTTTTTTTCAATTTTCCTTTCAGCAAAAAGCAGTTTCTTAGTTTCGAATGTATTCCGTATTGTAAAATTCTAACTGTCGTGTAATGCCTCACCATATGAGAATAAAAACTAAGTTTTTTATTTTAATTTAAAACATAAAAATAATAAACCATAAAAATTAAACGTTTTAACAACATAACGTTTTAACAAGCCTAATTCCCCAAACCACAATTGGAACAATTTGGTTTTAAAAAAAGGGTTAGTACTATTGACGCAGTTTCTTATTTAACAACAGACATTCAGTTATGTTTTTCAAATAACCATTACCTAGGTGCTGCATTTCTCGATATAAAAGGTGCATACGATGCAGTTAATATCATTATGTTAAGAGAAAAATTGTTTCGGGCAGATGTCCCTGCGAGAGTGTGTAATGTCTTGTACAATCTTTTAACACAAAGAAAAGTTTATATAAGGTCAAATAACAATGCTGTAATAGGTCCCAGACGATCATCACAGGTTTACCACAGGGTTCCGTTATCTCTCCCCTTTTGTTAATGTTTTTACAAAAGAAATTCACGAGGAAAAAAATAATTATAATATTATACAGTATGCTGATGATTTTGTTGTTTATAACACTAATAAAAAAATTAGAAGTAGGTATAACTGAACTCACGTCACATATACAACTAACTACTTTGAAATTTGAACCGTTAAGATTTTCTCTAACCCCTCAAAAATCTAGTGTTACCATCTTTACAATACATAATCTACCCAATATTGATAACATAAATGTAAATGGTACCTTATATCCAGCAACAAATAAGGTAACTTATCTAGGAATTATTCTTGACAAGAAGCTTAACTGGAAACCATTTATAAAAAGTATAGAATCAAAATGTTTAAAAGGCATACATTTTTTAAAATTCATAAGGAGAACATGGTGGGGAGCAGATCCACAATCGTGTTTAACTTTTTACAAAGCCTTTATTAGGTCGATCTTGGATTATGGATGTACGTTATATGGATCAGCCAGTCCTTACATGCTAAAACGACTGGAAATAATTCAAAATATTTCCCTAAGACTCTGTTTGGGTGCAATGTGTTCAACGCCTGTGGAACCACTTCGAATTGAAGCTCTAGAACCACCATTATTTTTACGGAGGGAATGGCTAGCAGAAAAATTTATTATTAAGTCTTTTTGTAAAAACACGTACTCTGTTAGATAAAATAGCCTTATTAAATAACCACGATTTAACTAACACGTACTGGTCAAAAAAACCTTCTTCTCCATTATGTATGGCTTTTAGAAATACAAGTAGTTATAATAGTGATTTAAAAAGAACTATTTCAGTCGAAAAATCTGAATTCTTTGACATGTTAGAACCACTAGAAATTAATATTCCTGTATATAATGAAAATTTGTTGATAAGTAAAAATATATTAAGCGCCTGCATATCAAATCTGTCAGATTTTCTGGAAATATATACCGATGCATCAAAACAAAATAATGGTACGGGATGTGCATTCTATATACCATCAACAAACGTTCAAGAAAAATTCAAACTGAATAATAATACTTCCATTTTTTCTGCAGAAGCTATTGGTATTATTAAAGCCTGTGATTATGTCGAAAAAAAACAAGTTAAAAAAAATAAATTTTTTGAGTGACTCATTACTTATCTGTTCTTAAATGCATTGCTAAACCCAATTAATGTGATGGATACTGATACAAATCCTTTATTAGAGAATTAAAAGTAATAATTCATAAATTAAAAAAAAGTCAATACGAATTAAAATTCACTTGGGTAAAAGCTCATATAGGACTTCGTGGCAATGAAGTTGCAGACTCCTTAGCCAAAGAAAGCGTTACAAACCGGAGAGCATATCAACAACAATTTAGGTGCTCAAGAATATTTAATGATATCAAAGAGTAATTTTAAGGCAAAATGGGAACTGCATTGGAAAAAACTATTGCTCTAATAACCTTACACGATACACACTATTACATCTAAGTATTCCGACAGATTTTTGGCACCAAGATTATGATTTTTCAAGAAATGATATTGTGACCATATGTAGGCTGAAATTCGAACATGCAAGCTACCCTCAACACTTATATAAAATCGGTGTACTCAACACCGAACTTTGTGAAACTTGCAATGTGGTTTGCGACTTAGATCACATTTTTTATGCTTGTAGTAAATTTGAAATACAAAGAGAAGAACTTATTAATAGTTTAATATTGCAAAAATTATACCCCCCTTTCAATCTACTTTATTTGATGTCATTAAATATGTACAAGGTATATAAAATTATCCTTAAGTTTATTAAAATGTGTAAATTAAAACTTTACTGTAGGTATGTAGGGGTTAAGCTCGTTACCTCTGTTTAATCACCAATCTAACAAATTATGACATTTTAATACCTGATTGTAGTTTGACTGGTCAATCCAAGATTTCATGAAAATAAGTTTCGAAGTTTGCCCGATCAAATTATTTTAGTTTAGTTTATTTAAGCTTTGAGTAAGACCTTATGTAAGACTTTGGAGGATTGAACTTGACCTATATTTATAATAAATAATTAAAAATGTAAATTAAGTTTACCTTTATCATCTGTATCATCCATTAGTTCTATTGTAGTCGTTGTAGATTGACCTTCCATAGTCATTAAGGAATTAACCAAAGCTTCTGCCGCTGCGGACTTTTTATCGGGATCCTTCTTTAATCTTAAAAATTTTCTTTTAGTAAGAAAACTTTTGTGTATTTGGCCGTTGTTACTAGTTTCTAAAAGCAGGTGACATTTTATTTATTACAATATACAAATAAAATAACTTTAATTATTTAAACACAAAAAACCGAATATAATACTGTGAGATAAGGCCCATTCTCTTAGCTCGGGCATATTTTAACAGATTCATGGTAGAAAACCTACAATACAACAATTCCTACTTCTCAGTATTACTAGCTCAAATATAGTACTATTGGAGACTTCTTTCTTTGAAAAAAGGAGAATTATTCGAAATAGTGGAAGTGTATACTAAACCCATAATTTTCCCTGTATATTAAAAAAATTTAATACTTGAGTTATTATAATTTAACATATTGTAGTAAATGTTTGTATTATTCACGTTGTTTATTTTATTTAATATAGTTTTATTATTTTATTATTTGTGTTAAATTCCTTTGTTAGTTAGTTAGTTCTATTTAGAATTTTATTATGATGGATATTCAAAGTTTTCCATTTGTCCATCAACTAATGCGTTGGTAAGTTTTTCTTGGTTGGTAAATGTTTTTTAAAATCAACTATTTTAGATGAGTAAGGATGCTGTTAAATTACAGGGTAATGGAACTGCACAAAGGTTTATTCAAAATGCCCACCATTTTTTTTTAAATTATTTGCCGAATGAAAACTCTATTGAGGTAAGTTGATAATTGTCAACTTACCTCAATTGATGAAAAATGTATTTATTGAATTATGTAAATGTTACAAATGTTCTTAAAGTCGCAAAAGGAAATTAACGACTGACTTAAATGATAGCGTCAAAAATTTAATTCGCTTAGAAATTTATCGCTTGTATGAAGAAAGTAAATTTTTTAATATATAAACAAAAATATATTTATAAAATTATTAGGCTAATTTAGTTTATATCGTTAAGATGCGCCAACAAGGCAACCAACAAAGGTTTTAGCTTGAGTTTTTTGAGAATAGTATCAATAAACGAATAAAGTTTAATATCTTGTTTTATAATAGTTATTTTATCGTTATATTAAAGTTTTATATTATTAAAAGTGATGATAATAACGCTAAATAAGCAATATTGTAAATGATATATAATCACAAAACGTACCCAATATTGTGTTCAATTCACATAATAAAATACTTTTGATACAGAAATTAAATTCTTTATATATATATATATATATATAATATATATATATATATATATATATATATATAAATATAAGCGAGGTTCCTACAGCCTCTGCCGTTTCTCGCATTTCGACCGCCATCGTTTTCTGTCCATCCATTCGTCTTCTCTGATGGCTCTATCTCTCATTATGTGCCGTACATTTTCTTCCCAGGCAACTGAAGGCCTTCCCCTTCTTCTTCTTTGTTGTGGTATGTAATTTAAAGCTTTCTTTGGCCATCTATCTTCATTCATTCGTTTCACGTGACCATACCACACTAGTTGTCTCGTTTCAATTCTATCTACACTGGAATATACAGTATTTGTCCTCCTTCTAATATCTTCATTCCTGATGTGATCTTTTTTGGATATACCACACGCTCTCCTTAGAAAATCCATTTCTACTACTTCTATTCTTTTTCTATCCTTCTGCGTTATCTGCCAAACCTCTGCCCCATAAGTCATAATAGGCTCTACCAAGGTTCGATAGATTGTCAATTTCGTTTCTTGTCTAATATCTTTAGACCAAAGTAGAGAGTTTAGAATGTTTACCACTTTTTTTCCCTGCTGTGTTCTGTTTTCGATGTCTCTTTTGGTAGTGCCTTCTTTAGATATTATAGATCCGAGATATTTATATTCATTGCATGTTTTTGTGTTTCTAATTTCTAACTCTGGATCTTCTTCACCATCTCCTATTTTAAGATACTCTGTCTTTGCCATATTCATATTGAGGCCCCATTTTTCATATTCTTTCTTTAGTTTTCTAAACATGTAGTCCATGTCTTCCTCGTCATTCGCTACGACTACCTGATCATCTGCGAAAAATAAAGCTGTTAGACATTCACCACCGCCTATGTCTATTCCCATTCCGGATACTTGTTTTCTCCACTGCTCTAGCGATGATTGAATATATATTTTAAACAGGGTCGGAGACAGACAACATCCTTGTTTAAGCCCCTTGGTTATTGGAAATGATTCAGATATAAAGTTTCCTTCTTGAACGACACTTCTTGCATTTTTGTATATATTTGCGATAGCATCCACATACTCTCTACTGAGACCAACTTTCGTCAATGTATAAAATAGTTTTTTCAAAGGTACCGTATCATATGCCTTCTCTAAATCTACAAACAATAGGTGGGTAGATAGATTCCTTGCCTCCTTCCGTTTTTCGACTACCTGCTGCAGAACGAATATATTATCAATGCACGATCTTCCTGCCCGAAATCCATTTTGTTCCTCTATGTCTTCATATTCTGATTCAATTCGTTTTTTTATTATTCGACCGTACAACCTCCCCACTGAGCTAGTAACAGTTATTCCTCTATAATTAGAGCAATTACGTTTATCCCCTTTTTTGTATATTGAGCTGATGTATCCAACATTCCAATCATCAGGGATATTTTGTCCTTTTAAGCATTTATTAAATAGTTTAACCATCATCTCGTGTAATATTTTTGGTCCATACTTTACCAACTCAATTGGGATGTCTCCAGGTCCTGCTGCTTTACCGTTTTTTCGATCTTTTGAGGGCATCGCTTAACTCTCCGGTTGTTATCTCAATTATTTGTGTATGTTCAGATATTTCTTCCATTTCGATATCTTGGAATTTACGTCTATCCTCTGTCAATAAGACCTCATAATGCTGTTTCCACTGTTTCAGATCTATAAATTTTAAGTTAGATTTTTCCTTTCCTTTCCTCCGGAGAGACTTTATCACCTTCCACGCTTGCCCAACTCTTGTTCCACCCATATACGCTATCCACCTCATGCACATCTTCGATCCCACATCTCATTTTTACTTTTCACTACTTCTCTTTTTACATCTCGATTTAATTTCGTATATACCTTGTGATCTTCCTCCTATTCTCGTTGACATCCATTTCTGATAAGCAGTTTTTCTTCTTGTGTTTACTAACGTTTGCATATTCTCCGACCACCATTCTTGATTTTTTGTTTCATGTTTGTCTTTATACCCAAAGCTTCACTTGCAGCCTCATGAATGTCCTTTTTAAGTTGTTGTGGTATAATTCTTCCGCTGTTATATTTTCTCGATCCACATTTTGTAATTTTGTGCCAGTCGTAATTTGTAAAGAAATTTTGTTGAATCATTCTTTTAAAGCTTTCTAGTTTAATTTAGGAGATGAAGTCCGCTAATTCTTTGAATACTTCTGCTTGTTTGGTTCTCAGTCCTTGTACATTCCATGTAGCCAATATCATTTTCCTTTTTCGTTGCATTAGTCGTCTTTGTGTTGATCATCCTTTGTATTCCGAGGCTTTTGGTCGAAATTTTTAGCATTAATTTCTTTTGACAAGGACGAGTTGCTAGCCCATCGCCTCAACCCTCCTCCTTTATCCGGGCTTGGGACCGGCATCGGCATTTACTGAGCTACTCAATTCACCCAAGTACTTACCGAAGGCGGAGTTTAAATTCTTTATATATATAATATCAAATACTCTAATAAAATACGCTATGAGCACGTGTGCTTGGTTTATATAGTAACTTCCAACCACTTCTAGTCTGTCAAAAAGTATCAAAAAGTAACTAACTTGGTAAAAAAATAATTACTAAATTCACTTCCATATTAAAGTTCATATTAAAAAAACCTGCAAACATGTTGTTTATTCACTAATATGTTCTAAATTCTACGACCTTTCGACTAGCTAGCGGAAATTCTAAGTAATAAAAGAACCGTTCCATTCGAACGGTCCAGAAATACATTGAATGAAAAAAAACAGCCATAGCTTTCCAGTATTTTCGACAAAGGTCGACATCCTTCTAGTCTAATAACGGTATTGGTATATAACCTGACCTTTTTGGAGAAAACAGGCAGTCAGAAAGAAAAGTATCGCGATCGCGTGGTTTAAAATGTAACGATCGTACAAATAAAATTATTATTGTAAGATAAACTAGTATAAATAAACTTTAAATTAAGTTGTACATGTTATAAATATAGAACATTTAATAAATAATAAAAACAATAAATTAGAATTATTAAAGACTTAACATTGGTGTCAGAAGTTGGGATCTTAAATAGTGAAAATATCTACGATTTTATGAGCTCACAGTTACGGATTTAAGAAGACATCTCGAGGCCAGAGAATTAGCTTCTACCGGAAAAAAAAGGCTGATTTAGTTAAACGACTAAAGAACGCTTTAAAAGAAGGAGGTTTGGATCCGGAAACTTATATATGTGAAGACAAGCATGTTGCTGTCATCTCGTCGATTTCGAAATAAAAAACAAAGTTTCTGACGATATTTCGAAAGTTTCTTGTAGCTAAAGCCAAAGTTTCTGGTGACATCGCATCATTAAAGTTTGAGGCGACATCGCTTCTTTAGAAGATAAAGTTTTTAACGCGATTTCTTTCCTAGGAAGCAAAGTTTCAGCTAACATTTCCTTGGAAATATCTAAAGTCATTTCTGAGATGTGTGCTCTCAACGATAGGACATCTTCGTTAAAAAACCAAGTTGTTGCCGATATGTCGGCCTTCGAAGAAAAGATGAAGTCAATGGAAAAGAAGCTGGAGGAAACAGGGACAGCAGAGAGAGGAAACAATCCAATTACAGCAGAGACAAAAGAAGACGACACGAAGTGTAAGTTGAAAACACGGCTGAAATTTGAAGGAAGTGGAGGTTTCTGTTCATGTCAAAGTCCCAACTTTCGACGGAAAATCGGCATGGAACAACTACATGAAACAGTTCGAACCAGCTGCAAGAGCGGAATGGATGGTCTGAAAAAGAAAAGGCTGGAAACCTGGCTATCGCTCTTCGAGGAGATGCTTTAGATGTGCTCCAGACCATAGCTGTTCGAGGAGTCGGATAATTTCGAACAAGTTAAGAAGAGGTTAAATATGCGATATGGCCACGAACACCTG